GACAATTCACTCAAAAGCCTCTAAAAATTATTATTTTTTCAAAAACATTTCCGATTATTGCTGTGTATTGTTTGTTGATTCTTTCCAATAAAAACTATTATCACTATTGTTACCTTTCTTCAATATTCGTCAGTTCCACGTTGTGAAAAAAGTCTATATTCCTTAACATGTCCATTATATTTTCTGAAGATACTTTATTCTTCAATAAAATGTTACCTACTTGTTTTAAGAAATTCGATTCCTTGGATAAATCTAAAAATGATGAAAATTATAGTTGGGCATAGAATTAAAAAACCATTTGTGGAGAAATCAGAGTTTGTGTATATTCAATTTCTACAGGATAAGAAAAAAAATCAATATCTTTATACTGGTGAAAAAATAGTGAATTGTATAGCATCTCCAAAAATATTCTGCAGTAACTTTTCATAGGTATACAATTTTGTGAAAAGAGGAGATCAATTTCTCACCCAAACTTCCATTAAAGTTTTCGAGTTACTGGAGACCAATAATCAAGATATGAATTTATTTTTGGTGTTTATATGGTAACTTACTGTAGCAAATTGTAAGTTTTCTCTTCTTCAGATGGACTTAGATATCAATCTCATTTATTTATTGAGAGTAATACAATAACAGCATTTAAGGTCACAAAAAGCTCTACAGAGACTTTGAATATCTTACCAATTTGTGTTATATCCTCATCCTTCTCTTTTGACTTTCCTACTGTTAGTTTGCAAAGTAATATTACCAGACAAGACAGGATACAATTTTCTTGACTTTGGAAATATAAATTCAATACTGCTTTGGCAAATTCACTGCCTTTTGATACACCAATAAGTTCCAGTATATTCAGAATGGTCTCAGAGTCGTATTGAAAAGGTTCCTTAGAATTATCAAACAATGGGTACTCTGGAAATATATTCGTAAGGGCAGCTTCTGTATTAAAAATGGACAAACTATAGTGGCAGTTATTTTTCATCAGAAACTCAGCTACAATTAGATTTATTGCTTGTTTCGACAAAGTATTATGATGAGGCGTCTTTTTATTGATGTCTCTACCGATGGCTGTGTTTTTAAGCACATTAATCATTTTGAAACGAAGGTGGGATCTGAGATCAGAAACTATTCCTTTTTCTTCAAACCACGACGTAAGCATATTCTGAAATTCTTGTGGAGACAAGTTGCTCAAATTATCTATTGCGGGTATCGCAGCATTCAAGTTCTCCATGTGATGGAAAGAGTAAAAACTTTCTTGAATTAATTTAAAAAGTTGGAAAACCAAACATAACCTTCAAAATTTCAAATATCCCTCTTTATCTTATTTAGTCATATCACTAACAAAGAAAAGAGAAGAAGATGCCGTTTTTGACATTATTGTCATTACCTTTTGACGTTTACGTTGACAGTTATTGGACCAAGGTACAAGGTAAAAAGAAAAAATAGTTCAAATAATTTGTTTATGGATTTTTCTGAGTGAAAGAAAATCAAACAGTTAGTTCACGCCCTGGATTTTGGATCAAGATTTTGTAATGGCTACAGAAGGTAAGTGAAATAAAGTTTAATTTTATTTGAAATTTCATTCAGTTGAAGGCGTTTTAGGAATATTATATTTCATTGAAAATCGAAACTGTATAGCAATTCAGGCAAATAGAGTGACAATTGCATGTATAAAGAAAAGTAGTTACTTTGTTGATAAAACTATATTTTACAAGAATTATAAATTATTACAATTATTATAAGTGGGGCAATTTAATGAGGTATTAGAAATACAAATAAACAATTATTGTCAGATATTTTAAAGAAGTTTTATTAAAACAACGATAAAAATAAAATAAATACAACAATAAAAATTAATTGGCGCTCCGGGGCGACTTCATTGATTCCAGTGGCGCATTTGCTTTTTCAGC